CTCCTCCTTCTTCTCATCCGAAGATTCGCCTCTTGGACGCTTCCTCTCAAACAGAGCCAGACCACCCCAAAGCGGTCAATGGTGGTAAGTGTGTGTTTTTTGAGCTGCTTAGCTGCTAAAACTGGAGCTAAAACTACTGCCTTTTTGTCTTTCCACTTTTTTCTCCCCTTTAGGGCCCAACGCTACTGGAACTGCCACTGCTGCTAATGGTGGCTCAAACGGCGCCTTGGCAGGCACTTCAACCAGTGGTGATGGAGGTAGTCCCTCCAACAACAACCACACCAAGTCGGATCGCCAGACTGGCGGATCTTTGGTGGAGAACCAGACGACGGAGGAGGGGAAGAAGGGTTCGTCGGCAAAGATGAACACTTCTTCGTCTTCAACAGCTTCAACTGGAACGGAGCACGAAGTGATCAACATTCCTGATAATGATGATGATGGTAAGTTTGTGTCCTCTTTTTAAGGTGCTGTGTTGAGCTAAAATCTGTCTTTTGGGTGTTCTTTTTCTAGCAGCAGATACCATCAATGCAAATGACACTGCTAATGACGCTGCTAATGACACTGCTACTAATGCCGTGGTGGTCGCTGGTACCTCAAATGGCGGATCGGCAATCTCCACCGGCAACAATTCAACAGGTGAAGGCAGCTCACCAACGGGAGTTGTCCCTGCCGTCAAGCAATCAAGTGACAAAGCGGAAGCTGAAACGAAAAAGAACGATTCGTCGTCAAAATCATCATCATCGGCGAAGGCAGTGGTGAACACAACTGCGGGTGATACCGTCGTCACTACTGGAACTACTGGAACTACTGGTGAGTACTTCCTCTGCTAAAAAATTTGATGATAATTAACACCACTAAACCACACATTCTGTCTCTTCCACAGCTGAAGAAGTCCAGTCCACCAGCACTGCCAACACTGGCACTGGTACTGGTACTGGTACCGGTGGTAAACAGCCGACCGAAAAGAAGAAGAAGGCGACGTCATGGAGGACAAAGAAGCGAGCTCAGAAGAAGAAACCGCTCGCTGTCACCACTGACACTACTGCTGCTGTTTCTGCTACAGCTACCTCAAACGATGAGGACACTACCGAAGTAGTGAACGGAAATGAGGTGGTGGTGGTGAATGCTGAACAGGCGGATTCTAACTTGGAACAGCAGCAGCAGCAGTCCTCCAACTTGGCCCTGGTCTCTGGTTCTGGTTCTGAGGTGACCGGAGGAGCTCCAGCTGTCAATGGCGGCAATCGTCAGCAGACTAAGCCTAAGGCTAATAAGGGACAGTCAAACTCTGCTTCCGGAAATGAGGTGGCTTCCACTTCTTCAGCTGCCAGCACCTCTTCATCCTCGTCTCCAGAATTCCCGGATCGATCAGTTCGCTCGTCCACTTTGAGTATCAGGCTGTCGCAAAGGTCATCAAAGCGACTTTCTTCTTCTTCTTTCTCCTCCNCTCCGGAAATGAAGTGAAGGCTTCCACTTCTTCAGCTGCCAGCACCTCTTCATCCTCGTCTCCAGAATTCCCGGATCGATCAGTTCGCTCGTCCACTTTGAGTATCAGGCTGTCGCAAAGGTCATCAAAGCGACTTTCTTCTTCTTCTTTCTCCTCTTCTTTAGGAGTTGATGCCGCCCCATTGAGCAAGCGACTAAGAAGTAGTAATAAGAGTTTTTAGAGCTCTTTGGAAGGTAAGTGTGACCACCTTGTTGATATGATAACAAAAAAAGGAGTTGCCTTTTGACATAATAACACCGGATTTTTTTTCGTAGCTTAGTTTCTCCAGGTGTGGTTTTGATTGGCACTTTTAGCCTTGGCTGAACAGTATTTTGCGAATTCATCATTACCATCACAATTACTACTCCCACCACCACTGCAACCCTGCATACAACTTACATACCACTTCTATTCCACTACAATGCTTTTTATTTTAACCTCTTTTTTTCTATCAGCACTTTCCTGTGACTCCAAACACTCCTCCCACTAACACTCACACTCACACACTGACACTTATTCTTTATCAAATTAATTATCAAACACAAAGTGACACACTGACACACACACACACACACTCAATGAACACTGCACACACATATTTCTTTCTCATATAAAGACGTTGCTCAATTTAAGACATATCTACAATGAGCCAAGTGAGCTTCTTCAGGAAACAACTTCTACACAAACACTTCCTAACCACCGAATTGCTCCTCACTATTCCTCTCGTCTATTAGCCGGAAATTGCACATATCGATCTGCTGCATATCTCAATACCCTCCTCTCTTAACCAATAATTATTTTGTGGCGCCAGCCACAGCTGACGTTCCCTCACGTTCAACCAACGTTGACCCAACGTACATTTGCACTCACACACACACATCACATCTCACTCATGTCACACTCACACACATCACAGTTCACACTCTGGTCACCCTGCACACGACGGTACTTAAGACCTGCCGTACGTAGCACACAGACGACGAGAACAGTCAGTCTTCACATCACCAGACTCTGTTACACTGTTACTCCGTCCACCACTCTCTTTCTCTCTCCTTCTCTGTGACTCCCCATCATCTCCACAATAAACCTCACCGTTAGCTCATCCGCTACACTTTATCGTTTATAAACGATAAACCAATATGCCTCCTTCACTATTTACAACATACAAATGTCATTTTTAATTTCAAAATTTCTCTGTTCAGTTTCTGTAAACCAAAGCTCTTGAACAAAAAGCACTTTTATTTCAAACATTTGATTTGTAAATTCTCTTTATGTAATTTAAATAAAACTTTTTAAAAAAATTTTATCTTAAGAAGGTTAATATCAAACATTAGCAGCCAAAGCTATTGTACAGCAACAGCAGCAACTAATTCATTTTAAGGAGTTGTTTAAAAAGTATTAAAATGTTGTAAACTATCAAACTAGCAAAAGTACACACACACACAGCTGCTGAAGTGGACTGTGTTTCGTGTGTACATTACACACAACACACACACACTGAAAAGTAAGTGTACAGCAAATCATTCTGCTTTTTTCAGTACGTGCTGAACAGCTAAAAATAATCTCCACCAGATTTTCCTTCAGATGTTCCTTCACCCTAGCAACAGCAGCAGCTGCTGCTGCTTCGACTGTTTTCTTCACCACCACCACCATCAACACTCCACCATCACGTGTTAGTTTGGCAGTTTTTTCAGCTGAAACTGAAAACAACTGCAAAATGATTTTGTCACACTCACTTTCACTTTCACACACCGTTGTACAGCTGCTGCTGTCGTACAGCAGCAACAGGACAACTCTTTCCACCGTTTCATTGTTGTTGCTCTGTTGTTCACAAAAGTACCCATTTGTGTCTGTCGGTGTCTGTCGGTGTCTGTACCTTCCTCTTTCTCATCAGGATAATGTACTTTGTTGACACTGCAGATTTTTTCACTCAAAAGCTCTTTGTCTTTGAGTTGCTTGGTTGCTTAGTTGACTGACTGACACCGAGAGAGAGAGAGAGAGAGAAAGAGAGAGAGAGAGAGAGAGATAGAATAAGATGAAAATAAAGATGTCGAGCTTCAGAGATGGTGATCACATGAACATCGTCGGTCTGTCAACTTTTGTTGTTGTTGTCGGTGGTGGCGGTCGTGGTGGTCCTCAGTTTACTTGGCAAACACCAGCTCACTTCCTCAATTTTCTATAGCTCACTGCAGCTCATTTGAATCACCACCATCATCATTTCATCAGTACATCTACTTGAAAAGCTGCTGATGCATTTGCTCGGCAATGTACGGCAATGTAAGGCCAGGCAGCTGATTTGTATTTTGAAATTGTTCTGCTGCTGCTGCCGAGGCTGCAAATAGTTTTGACTTTAGTGCCACCATTCAAAGATTCAAGTGATCGAGTAGCTCAGTCAGCTAGTCAGTCAGTCAGCTAACAAGAGGTAAAAGAAAGAAGAAGAAGAAAACGAAGAGGAAGAAGGAATTTGCAATTTGTTTGCTGTGTTGTGAGTTATTTTTAGCCCTGGTTGAAGTCAGCAGCAGCAACAGCAGCAATTTCCAGTCAGTCAGTTTGATGTTGAGTTGAGCTGAGAGTTTGCAGAATTGAGAGTTTTAGTTTTGCTTTTGCTCTGTTCAAGTTGATCAGTTTGCTTTCACGTGCTTTAAAATTCTAAACTTTGTTCAAGGGTAAAGGAATGTTAAAGTTAGAAAAATGAAATAAACCTGTTAATCAAGCTTGAGATCAGCGTACAATTAAAAGTAAATTCAATTTTTATTCTTAATAAAAATTAAAACACAAATAAAAAATCAGTAAAGTACTGTCAAGAAAAAAAAGTAGTACACTTTAGCAAAAGCAAGTAGTGAAAAAAGAAAAGGATTTAAGAAAGTTTTAAAGGAGAATAGTTTATCAATAGGGAGTTTAAGGAGTTACAGTTTAAAATCTTGAAAAAAATCATAATAAACAAAAGAATTTGTAAGGATGCAAAGGAGAAGGAGTGTAATGAAATGTAATGAGTGTAGTGATCACGCAGTTGGCGCTGGCCCAAATATTAATTTTTAGCAATTAATTAACTTTAGCAAACACAAAAGAACATAAGTTCTAGGGTTACTGAATTAATTAAAGCATAAAAAACTAAATATGTGAGCAGCTTTGAGGAGAAGAAAAAGTAGTATGAGTGTCAATGAATAAAAATAGATCAATAATAAAAATATGTAGAGCAAAAATAAAGTGAGTAAAGAAGAAGAAGGTATCCGTAGTAGTAGTAGCTGTTGTAATAATAGTAGTAGCTGTAGTCGTCATTTGAGAACATTATGAAAGGGAAAATTTCTGCACTGTAAGTGTCGCCAGCATTTGATGATCAATAATAAAAATGTACTCAAAATAGAGGAGAACGTGTGTATGTGTTCGATATCATCGTCAACAACCAAGTCGTACAAGGATAGTGAGTCAGGGGAGGGGAGGAAAACAAAGTTACAAGGTTTGAGTAGTAAAAGTAGTACCTTTTTCAACAGAGTTCATATTATTCGGAACAAAAAATACAACATCCATATACACAATTTTGCTCTGACAGTAAACATGACGATGATGACAGTAAAATGAAAAAGGGGAGGGTGATGAACAATTTGAGATGAGCTGAGGTTGCGGTGGTGGTGATGAGATGAAGAAAAATAGCTTCGATTTTTCGAAAGTAGGAAAGAATCCTCCCAAAGTAACTTTGGTTTGGGTCGTTGCTACAGCTCCGTCTGCACGGAGGCAGTTGAGGAGGAGGAGAAGGCGGCGCTGCTGCTGATGGTTCGCGTCAACTTTGGCGTTCCACGCCCCTCGCCTCTGGAGGCCAAAATGGAGTTCTTCGGCAGACTGCCCGCGGACATCATCATCGCCGAGTCGGTGCTCATCTGCCTGTAGCGGGTGGTGCTGAGG